TTCCTAACATCTCTTCACCATGACGGCAGTCTCTAAATGTTAGAGTTCACATAAATGGTTGTCATCACTAACTAATCAGGAGGTCTTAGACACAGGTTCAAGTGACTGGCTAGGGTCTTGGACATGGGGAAAAGGCCTTTTAGGTGGTGGAAGTATTCATAGCACAAGGTTCCACAATTCCAAACCCAACAAACTCACAGTCAATCAACCATACTTTCTTTCTGCTATTATGCATTACTCAAATTCTTCAGAGCACAAGAGCGAAGGAGGTCACATAAATACCAGTATTTCTAAGCCAGACTGCTAAGAAACACTACTTAATGGGCACTATTCAGATTTTTGGTGGTGGCTCTCTTTCGCTTTCATTTTTTTCTTTGTTTTTCTTTCATTTTTTTCCCATTTCTTAAGAGAACCACCACCTCTGCACATTTTCAAACACCTGCCCAACTTTTTAAGAACTACCTCCAAATCTCACATTACATTTAGCAGAAACAACAGAGAACATGTAAAAATCACTCCGTGGAACCTTCTAAAAGATGCAAAAGGGTGATTTTTCATTGAAGACCGAAAGAAAGGATAACACACGGCTCAAAGGGGCTGACTAGGGGGTATGACACACCAGGACAGTCAATTTGGTCGTGGGATAATCCTATGCCTCCATCATCTTAGCTAATGACAACGTGAATGCTACACATCATGGAAGAGGGAACTATCGCACAAGAAAGAAACAAGCAGACTCGAATCTCAAATGGCTACCTATATGCTCTATCTCTCGTTCTGATTCCCTGAACTAGATGCATAACCGACTGTCAAGAACAAGTGATCAATCCAAGTCACAGTTGGTAAGCAAACAGTTGAAAAACCAAACCCCTACACAATTCTACTGCACGTCTCAGTCATCATAATAGGTTGTCTTAGTCACAATCCAGTTGTCATGCATCAATCCGAAAACCATTCAATTCACCAATCAAAACACAGTGCCAATATGATCAAACAGCCGTACTTGGAGCTCTCAAATCTCGAGATTTGGACAGTGGACTAGGCTCCAAGCACACGTAAAAAGATTCAAACTGATACAAAGCACCCCCCACACTTAAGCACGACATTGCCCTCAATGGATCAGAGGGAGAGATAAGGGGAACGATGTTACCGGAATGAAATACTGCAGAAGACTGGAAGTGGACCAGTCAGCAGGGGACATATGGAACGAACGGGCATTTCTGCACTCAAAGGAACGACAAGAACACACTAGCACATGTTCGTTAGGGATCAGAGTTGGCCCAGATGGCCACAAAAGAAACAATCCACAAAAGAAAAGAAACAAAACACACGAAAAACTCAGTTCAAGCTCCTCAAACACATGGAGCAAACAGAAAAAGTCTAAAACAAAAACACACACTGAGGGGCGACAAGTACAGCCTACTCGTCGCCAAGGTTGTCCAGATCGATGTCATTCATGAATGCATCATTATCATCAGCTGGTGGTGGTGGAAGTGGAGAGTCCTCCCAGGGAATCCTCCAGACTGGCTGCTGGCCTGGTAGCACCTGGAGCAGGTGCTACTGGACCTTCTGAATGCGCTGAGATCGGGCATGCTCTCTGTCGATGCGAGTCAGGGTCACCCCCTGCTGGGTCTCCATCCTATCAAGGCGCTCATCATACGCAGCCATCCGGGTCTGGTACTCGGCATGGTGAGCCGAATACTGCTGCTTAAACTGGAGCTGATAGTCGTAGAGCTGCTGATTCTGGAGACGCAGCTGGTCGAACTGCTGAGTGAAGTAGTCCTGGCCGGGGAAGGTGGAACTGCCACCCCCGTACTCGAAGGTGGTGGGGCGGCAACAGTATCATCCACATCCTCGGAGTGGACATCCTCATCAGCCGCACCCTCGGGAACCTCTGGCTGGACCTCCTCTGGGATCTGAGGTTGAGGAAACCCCTTGATCCACTTAACTCCTCGCTCCTCTCGAAGCAACTTCATTTTACTGATCGTAAACTCGCCAAAGGCACTGGTGTCCCCCTGCTCTGTGCACCCCTGCAGGGATATCTGGAAGTAGGCTGCCAGGCGGGTGATGAGGGGGGTGCAGTGGAGTTTCTTCAGCTCGGAAGCACTCTTGGCGAAGGTCCTCGCCACCATCGAACCCAAGTGGAGGGGATGATCCCTCTGGAGCATAGACTGGATGAAGTACAGGGCTCTCTTGGTGATGGCACTGGCACTGTCCGAGGCCGGAGTGTAAGACTTGGCCAGCAGGTGGTGGAGGATGCGGTTGTCGAGCTGCAGTGTGCTGGCCTTCGTCTTCCCCGCCGAGAAGGGACGCTGGCCTGGCCGCGCGAGGCGGGTGTACAGTGACCTGAAGTCCACCCCTTCTGGCTCGGTGCTCTCGGTGATGTAGTCCCTGTCATCGACCAGATTGAGGCCAAGGGCGGTCGCCAGCTCGTTGTAGCTCATGGATCGGGGTTCACCGCCGAGCCTGAACTGGACGGCTTCTCCGTTCTTCCAATCCTCCATGTCTATGTGCTTGAAGGTCGTGTAGAACTCAAGCACGAGCTCGTGGTAGACCTTCTCGCGAATGCAGAGTAGGCGGCGCCAGGGACGATTTGTGACTATGGCGGAGAAGTGCTCGTAGCAGTTCAGTTTCTCCAACTCTCGCTTGGACCAGCAATAATGCTGCCCAAACTGGCAGGCCAGGACGCTCTTAAAACGATCCTGGTGGGGCCCCCTTCTCAAATCGTGAACAAACGGGTGCCTGAGGTTGGGCTTCGTCATGGTCCTGCAAAAGAACAACCCAAAGTGGAACCAAGAGAGCCAAGAAAAATGTTAATTACACCCCACACTTAAGAACAGAAAACAGCCGAACCATGGTTTCATCCATAGTTCGGGGGTCAAAAACTCGATCAATCAAGCATAATCGGGGTGGGGGTGCACATCCATGAACAATTAGGCAACTCAAGGTTCACATCCATAGCAAACAAACCCTCAAAGCACATCATTATGGGCCCCAACCGACTCCCACAAAGTGGTAGGAAAACAGGCATTTCATCGAACACCTTGTGTGCACAATTAAGGTAAACATGGAATTGACAAAATTCATGCACACAAGGGCTCAAACAAGTAATGGGGACAATGCCCAACACAATTCATACATAATCCAAGCATTCCCCTTAATCAATTGCACACAATTCACATGATTCAAAGAGGTTCTCTACACATGCACCCTAACACCCAATTCTCCATAAAAAACATAGTTAAGGTCAAAATCAAACCTGGAGACTCAAGTAGAGGTGTAGGGGATGATGAGAGGAAGGCAATGGAAGCGACGAAAGGCCGAAAAACTGCCCGGAAGTGCTCGTCGGAGCCTCGCCGGAGTCTCGCCGGAAATCGCCTCCGGCGACTTAAAATCAATCCAAATCACCTCAAAATCGAGGGATAGGCTGATTATGGGGAGGAAATGGTGGGTGTGGTGTTGGATTTGTGAAAAACCGACCAAAAATGGCCGAAAATCGACAAGGGTGGCGAAAAGTCGCGGTTTTCCGGCGAGGGGGAGAGGTTTCCGGCGAGAGAATTTGGATTTTCAGACCACTCGGTCGTGTCGGCCGAATTTATAGCCCGTGGCTCGGCCACACGGGCAGGCTCACACGGCCGTGTGAACTGCACATTTGCCCGTGTCAGCCGACACGGGCAGGCCGAGGATTTTCACTCGGCCGTGCGAAAAGCACATTTGGCCATGTGACTTTTGACGAGAGCTCACACGGCCAGGGGGGATTTCCACACGGCCGTGTCAAAATCACAACTGGCCGTGTGGAAATTCACGAGAGCTCACACGGCCAAAACTCAATTCCACACGGCCGTGTGACTTTCAGGGCTGGCCGTGTGGGCTACCAGAACTCCGAAATTGACCTATTTTCACTCCAGAATGACATACAACTCGTGAACAACCCCTCAAGACTCAAAAAACACAAAAAATCAAAAGGAAAAAAGGTAAGAAAATGCAAACCTAGGTGGGGTTGCCTCCCCACAAGCGCTTCTTTACCGTCTTTTAGCTGGATGCCAGTAGAGGAACTAAGGGTCCTCGAGCTTGATCAGCAGCTCTGCGTGCTTGACAGCACCTCCCAAGTACAACTTTAGGAGGTGGCCATTCACCTTGAATGGCTCAGTTTGAGCATTGCTGATCTCCACCGCACCGTGCGGGAAAACTTGGGTGACCGTGAAGGGTCCCGACCATCTCGAACGTAGCTTGCCCGGAAAGAGTTTCAGGCGTGCATTGAAGAGCAGAACACGATCACCTACCTGAAACTCCTTCGGGCCCCCTTAACCGAGCGTCGTTGAGACGCTTGGTTTGCTCCTTGTAGAGCAGGGTGTTCTCGTAGGCGTGGTAACGCCATTCCTCCAACTCCAGCAGCTGCAACTTGCGTTCTGTACCTGCAACACTCAAATCCAGGTTTAGCAGCTTAATGGCCCAGAAGGCCTTGTGCTCTAGCTCGACCGGCAAATGGCACGCCTTCCCATAGACAAGCCTATAGGGAGAAGTGCCAATCGGATTTTTATAGGCAGTCCTATACGCCCAAAGAGCATCATCGAGCTTGTTGGACCAATCCATGCGGGACTGATCCACCGTCTTTTCAATTATTCGTTTTAGCTCCCGGTTCGTCAGCTCGGCCCGCCCATTTGACTGGGGATGGTAGGCCACCAACACCTGATGCTTAACGCCATAACGAGAGAGGAGTTTAGTGAATTGCCCCTGAAAATGGGTTCCTCTATCACTAATAATGGCGCGAGGTGTCCCGAACCGGGAGAATAGCTGCTTCAGAAATGAGCAGACCCGTCTTGCATCATTGGTGGGCATGGCTTGAGCTTCTGCCCACCTCGAGACGTAGTCCACTGCAACCAATATGTACAGATTGCCAAAAGATGGAGGGAATGGGCCCATGAAATCGATACCCCAAACATAAAAAATTTCACAAATAACAGAGATATGTTGGGGCATCTCATACACGGGAAGAAATGTTACCTGACCTTTGGCAGCGGTCGCACTGGCGTGCGAAGGAGTCTGCATCCTTGAAGAGCGAGGGAATAGAAGCCCGACTGTAGCACCTTCTGCGCCGTGCGGTTTCCTCCATGGTGACCTCCAGTAGGTCCCTCGTGGCATTGAGACAGGATGTCTCCCATCTCGTGCTCCATGACACAGCGCCGGATCACGCCGTCTGCTCCGATACTGAAGAGGTAAGGATCCTCCCAGAAGTAATGCTTCAGATCGGAGAAGAACTTGCGCTTTGCATGAGTAGCCATCCCCTTGGGTAACTGCTTGCCCACCAGATAATTGGCAAAGTCAGAATACCAAGGGGCCACGTTGTCCACCAGTGTCATCGCCAGCAATCGCTCACCCGGGAAGGAGTCATCGATCTCTTCCACGAAGTTGTCCACCGGAGGGGCTTCCAACCGTGAAAGATGATCTGCAGCAACATTCTCGGCTCCTTTCTTGTCCCGGATTTCTATGTCGAATTCCTGCAGAAGCAGGATCCAGCGGATGAGCCGAGGCTTTGCATCAGCCTTGCTCATCAAGTAGCGAATCGCCGAGTGATCTGTGTAAACCACCACATGGGAGAGCACCAGATATGGCCGGAACTTGTCAAATGCATACACCACAGCGAGGAGCTCCTTTTCAGTGGTGGTGTAATTCTCCTGTGCATCGTTCAAGGTCTTTGACGCGTAGTAGATGGGCTGGAAGTGCTTCCCGCGTCTCTGACCCAGAACAGCTCCGATTGCATAGTTACTCGCATTGCACATCAGCTCAAAGGGTAGAGACCAATCAGGAGTCACTATGATGGGAGCGTGGGTGAGCTTCTCCTTCAAAGTCTCGAATGCTGCTGTGCACTCAGGAGTGAAGTGAAATGGTGCATCCTTCTCTAGCAGCTTGGTCAGAGGCAGGGCAATCTTCGAGAAATCTTTGAAGAAGCGCCGGTAGAAGCCTGCATGACCCAGAAAGCTGCGAATCCCCTTCACAGAAACGGGAGGAGGTAGCTTACTGATCGTCTCAATCTTCGCGCGATCCACCTCAATCCCCTGCTTGGAGATCTTGTGCCGGAGCACAATCCCCTCACGGACCATAAAATGGCACTTCTCCCAGCAGAGTGCCAGATTAGTCTCTTCACACCTCTTCAAAATGAGCTCCAAGTTATGGAGACAATGAGTGAAGGAGTCTCCATAAACTGAGAAGTCATCCATGAAGACTTCCATGATCTCCCCGACCAGTCGGTCGAATCATGCATCTCTAGAAGGTCGCCAGTGCATTACACAGCCCGAATGGAATCCTCCGGTAAGCAAAAGTGCCGAAGGGGCAAGTGAATGTGGTCTTCGCCTGATCCTCTGGTGCAATAGAGATCTGGAAATAGCCAGACATGCCATCCAGGAAGCAATAAAAATCATGACCAGCCAACCTCTCCAGCATCTGATCAATGAAAGGTAGGGGAAAATGATCTTTCCTGGTGGCGTTGTTCAGGCGCTGGTAATCGATGCAGACTCTCCAGCCAGTCACGGTCCGCATCGGGATCAACTCTTTCTTCTCATTTAGGACCACAGTCATCCCGCCTTTCTTCAGGACCACCTGAGTGGGGCTGACCCACTTGCTATCAGATATAGCAAAGATGATCCCTGCATCCATGAGCTTCACAATCTCTGCCCAGACCACTGCCTCCAAGTTAGGAGACAATCTCCTCTACGGCTACCTGACTAGCTTAACCTCATCCTCCATTAGAATTCTGTGGGAGCAGAAGGATGAGCTAATGCCTCTGATGTCTGTGATCTTCCATGCCATGGCCCGAGCATATTTCTGTAGCAGAGCCACCAGCCTGCTCTTCTGCTCGGGTGTCAGATCCGAGCTGATAATGACCGGGAGCTTATTCCCCTCCCGGAGAAATGCATACTTCAGGTGAGAGGGGAGGGGCTTAAGGTCCAGCTCTGGTGGCTCCTCCAATGATGTAGCGATCCGGGGCGAGATAGGGATCGGCTGGAATGGTATCTCTCGCCCCTCGATCGCGGCCTCGTCTAGCTCTGCGGGCTGCTCCTCCAGCTGCACGTCCTGTGATGCCTGTTCCCCTAGCAAAAGACAACGCTCAAGGAAATCATCAGTACCCGCACTCGTGATGGCGAGTGCGGTCTCAAAATCAGCAACAACATCATAGTAATCTAGATCATCATGGAGCTGGGGGTGTTTCATATTATCAGAAATAGAGAAAGTGATTTGTTCACCCCCAGCTCGCAAAATCAATTTTCCATCATTCAAATCAATGAGCGCCTTTGCGGTGGCGAGAAAAGGTCTACCCAATATCAATGGCACATCCACATCCTCATTTATGTCCAAAATCACAAAATCAACAGGATAAGAGAATGGCCCTACTGCGACTATCAAGTCCTCTACAATGCCCCTAGGATGCACAATGGATCTATCAGCAAGTTGAATGCTCATCCTAGTATCAATGGGTTCACCTAGGCCTAGCTTTTTAAACAGTTTATATGGCATGACATTTATGCTAGCGCCTAAATCCGCCAAGGACTTCCCTATATGCAAACTACCAATCATGCAAGGGATAGTGAAACTCTCTGGGTCTTTTCGTTTCTCTAGTAGTTTGTTCTGCAGGATGGCAGAACACTCCTCGTTGAGCATCACCGTTTACAGCTCCCCAAGCTTCCTCTTGTTGGTGAGGAGATCTTTCATGAACTGGGCATACTTGGGCATCTTCGATAATGCCTCCACGAAGGGCATGCTTATATTCACCTGCTTCAGCATTGCCATGAACTTGGCAAACTCAGTCTCCAGTCGGTCCTTGTGCAACCGAGTAGGAAAGGGGAGCTGGGGTACATACTCCTTCACCACTGGTTGCGGTTTAGGAGCAGGCACCTCAACCTCCTTCTCCATTTCCTCTTCATTAGCTGGAAGTGCTGAAGCAGGGGTCTCTCTCTCTTCTGCTCGAACAGGTGGATCGGCAGTCACCTTGCCACTCCTGGTGGTAATGGCCCCGCAGTGCTCATTCGGGTTCTGCGGATGAGGGATGGTCTGACCGGGTAGAGTACCAGGAGGCCTCTTAGCTACAGCCTGGGCAACACTCCCAAACTGGGTCTGGATATCCCGAAGAACAGCCTGCGTGTTTCTCTGACCAGCTTCTAGCTCCATGAATTTTCCTGAAGCTTTCTCCATGAACTGCTCGATGTTATTGAACTTGGTTGCACTGGAGGTGGCCAGAGAACCCACCGGATCTCGCAGTTCCGCCATCGGGTCACTCTGCGCTTGGGCTGCAGGTGCTGCCCATGTCTGCTGAAATGGTCGCACCTATGACTGAGGTGGAACTGGCCCCTGTCTGGGCGGGTAGAGTGGCTGCTGTGGTTGCTGAAATTGCCCTTGTCGGGGCTGGTAAGGAGGCCTCTGGAAGTCAGGTGGCATTACTGATGAAGTCGACCTGCTCCTGGGGAGTAGACGACTCCCTCATCGCCTGACTGTCCTCCACAGTGTGATGGGAGCTCTCACACCACTGGCAGTGCATCGCCTGCGGCTGTCCTGTACCTGTAATCAATCCAGAGCGATCTATGGCTGAAACCAGCTTCGATACCACCTGCACCAAATCAGATGACTGGGTGGCGACAGCACGCATACCCCGCCCTGGTGCTCTTCTCGATATCCTGGAAGTGCCCCAATCATATCCCTGCTCTGCCATCTCCTCAAAAAGTTGATTCAGCTGGGGCGGTGTTTTGGTGAGCATATTCCCGCCACATACTGAATCACTAACCTGCTTGTCCTCCATGAAGAGGACATGGGAGAAGGTTCCCACCTTGAAGGCATCAGTAAAACCATGGTTAGGACACTTGAGGAAGAGACTAGTGTATCTCTCCCAAGCATCCCTGATGGTCTCATCCTCATCCTGAGCAAAATGGGTAATTTGCTTCTGTAGGTCCGCCGTCTTGGATGGAGGATGGTAGCGGGTGAGGAAGTTGTCCGCAAGGTTGGGGAACGTGGTGATAGAGCCCGGAGGTCGAGTGTCTAGCCACTCCTTGGCCTGCCCCTCCAGGGTGAATGGGAAGTACCTCAGCTGGATGGCATCTGTTGGGACCCCGTTGATCTTGATTCCATCGATGAGCTCGTGGAATCGCCTGAGATGTGATCGGGGGCACTCCCCCTCTTTGCCAAGGAACACCACTGAACCGCGCAGCATGGTAATTACTGAGGTGCTCACCTCAAAATTGTTGGCTGGGACATGAGGGTGTTGAATGGGTGACCTCATGGGCCCTTGCGGTCCAGTAGGATCCCATGGTCTGCTCCTCAGGAATGACCACATCATGGTCCTGTGGGTCAGCCATCTCCTCTTCGTCAGTCATCTGTAGCTGTGCTAGCGACTCCTCCGCAGCCAGTCGCGCCTTTAGAGCCCGATTGAAGTTTTTGCAGGTTTGTTCAAGCTCCTGGTCTAATGGTAGTAGATCTCCCGACTGGCTACGGGTCATGCACTACCTGCACACAATCAGCAGAAGCAACCCGTGAAGGCACACAGGTGGAAGAGATAAAATGCAGTAAAGAAAAAGCTAGAGTAACAAATTTTCACGTTTCCCCAATAACCTACACCTTCCTCGGCAACGGTGCCAAAAACTTGACACGCCAAAACACAACACCTAACTGAGACCAAGTGTAATCGCAGTCCGGGAATGCAGTAAAGTGGCAAGTTCTATTATCAACCCGGGTTCTAGATCTACTGCTTACTCCGTGATTATCTATTATCTAGCCAACTAAGTTAAGTTATTGTTGTTTTAAGCAAAAGCAGAAAGAAAGCAGGAATTGGTACGGTTTTCTTAAGCAAGGAAGAGTCACTCGGGAATGAGTCCCCCTAGCTCCTTAGTTAGGTCTCAATTGTATTTTCCCTGGGTTGATTTACTGTTGATTAGACTGCGGAAGATGCGACAGTAGCATGGAATCTCTTAAGCTGACCAAGCCCTCTCAGTCTAACTACCCGGCAGACGACTAGTCTTCACCGGGATAGAAAGCTGAAGCAATAAGAACAGAACTCCACTACTGGAATTGGATTCCAGTACAAAGCAGTAAACTGGCTAATTCTTGTATAGCCAATCTCCTACTACCGAATGATGAGGCTCTAACAACCTAATCAGATTCTATCTATCTCAGGTTGCAGCAGAAATCAAGAAAAGCTGATCAGACTTCAATCAATTCAATAAACATGCATCATTCGATTAAAACCAAACAGTATAATCATCCCAAGTCATTACAATCAAATCCCTAACACATGGAACTAGGGTTCTTCATACCCAAGTGAGAGAAGGGTTCTACTCCATAAAGAGAGAGAGAGAGAGGAAAACAGAATACAAAGTAGTCATACTCATAAGAATGGGAAGAATCTGCTCTGGGATGATGATTTCCACTCCTATGACAATCTCCAAGCTCGATTTGATGAAACCCAGCTCCAAGATAGCTTCTAGGATGTGTTCTTCGTACTTTCTCTCTCTAGGGCTCTGTTTTTGCTCTGAAAATCCGATTCTCTCACTTGCAGCCCGAAATTGGGTAAAAATCAGAAATTCCCGACTCACCCGGGCAGGCCACACGGCCATGTGGCATACCCAGTTGCCCGTGTGAGGTCAAAACGCCGCGTTCCGATTATGTGGGTTTCAGGCTTCCAACACGGCCAGGGGCACACGGCCGTGTAGCTCACCCAGCCTGGCCGTGTGAAGCCTCGCAGAATTCCACACGACCACATTGCTAATTCACACGGCCGTGTGGAATTTATTTGTGCCCGTGTGAAGGCTCGCAGAATCCCACACGGCCACATTGGTGCCTTGCACGGCCGTGTGGGTTTTGTGTGTGCCCGTGTGGCTTCCTCAGCAACTTGCCTCGCGTCCGATCTTCGTCCAATCGACCCCAAACTCACTCCCAAGCCTTCATTCACTTACTAGGACCTGAAATATCACAAACAAGCACAACATAGCGTGAAATTGGCCTAAAACACGAGAATTACCATCTCAAACGGCTCGAGAATAGGGGTAAAAACATGTGCAATTAACGGTTTATCAGTTTCCTCTATAAAATTGATAGAATATAAGGTTGTACCAGTCCCTGAGAGACGATACATGGACTTTTCGGTTTACTACGAGATAGGAAATTGTCATATACGCTTTTGCCCTATCAAGTTTTTGGCGCCGTTGTAGTATAGTGGTAAGTATTCCCGCCTGTTACGCGGGTGACCCGGGTTTGTTCAACCAACATCAATCAACCCGCGGTCATCGATACAGTCTTTAAAAGCCTTGGTCCTAGCAGGATTGAAAGGAGCTCCTCCCTGCTTTTCAGACGGTTTGGTGATGGAGTTGAAATCACCTAGAAGTAGCCATGGTGTATTGATCTCCCTCTCCATTCTTCTGATTGCCTCCCAGAGTTCCCTTCTCTCGTGTTCATTTGGACTGGCATAGACAGCGGTGAGAAGAAACTTCACATTACCCCCCTCCAAACATTAAAGATGCAAAAACTGCCTATGCCTATCCACCAGCTCCATCTTCAGCGTTCCACTATTCCACATAACCCAGATCCCACCACTGAACCCCACAGCATCAGACACTTTCCATGAATCATAGCCGAGGGTTTTAATTACATCAACAGCATCACCTGCACTGATTCGTGGCTCCAAAATGCAGGCAATATCAGGCTTAAACTGAAACTTATACTCGAAGAAAGACGAATGAAATTTGGGGTGTCTAGCACCCCTGCAGTTCCAGGAGAGTACTCTAACCATAAAAAGTTAATGTGCTCCGCCCAAACCTAAAAAACAGATTATCAGCTGTCGATGGCCATGGCCATCTGTCTACCCTCAAGTTTGACTCCATGGTCATTGCCCTCGGGTAAGCTTGCATCTTCTGGCTTGCTAGGGTCAAAGTCCGTCTTCGGATCAAAATTGATCTTTTTCGGTTTCCCTTTCCCATTACCCGGGGAGATAATTTTCTTCTTAGCCTTCTCTTTGCTTTCCACACTAGGCGTTGGGTGTTTCCCTATGGGTTGGTGTCCTGCACGAGCCCTAGAGGCCTGACCCCTTTCGTTTCCAATGTTAGGTCTGTTCTGAAGTGGCGGAGTGCCACTCCCCTTTGAACTGAGCCTTCCATTGGGTGATTGAGGGATAGCCTTGCCACCCTTTCTTGATTTGATGTTGCTGTTACCTGTGGGTTCCTTGTCGTTGGTTGCAATAGGATGGTTAAGCTTAGTCATACTTCCACCAAAGCTCTTACTGTCCTGCCCCGCCTTGTTTTGATCTTCCTTCATACCACTAGCAAGAACTTCTTTCATTTTCCCTGTATTCCCATCCATCTCTTTGACTTTGCTGGATTCTCTATCCTTCACTTTCAACTGTTGCCCATCTTTCTTTGTTGATTTCTGATTCTCAATAAACTCTTTTTCTTCTTGGGCTACTATGTGCTCATCCACTTCCTCATCCTCATCTTCCAATTCCTGCATAGCCTCCTTCATCAGAATGTTGTACCTCGAACCAGACACCTCAGCAGCTGGATTACCCTCCTTACCTTTCCCATCCTTTCCCACTTTCTGTGTTGTATGCTGCTTCGTTTTCCTGCGGTTCCTAGTTGCAATCATCCATGACCCGAAATCCTCTAGCAGTTCTGGCCTAATCTCCTGCTTTGGGTTCTGAGTTGTGTTCTGTTTTGTTTTCTCCTCCGGTGTTAAATTCTCATTCACTTCCTTCAGCGGGAAGGCATTCTCCAGGTGGCCATAATGACCACACCCAAAGCACACCATATGAAGTCCCTCGTACTCCACTCTTCGGACTCTCCTCTTAATTTTGTATTTCGAGATAAGCCTTTTCCTTAGATCAATTTCTACGCAGATGCGAGCATAGTTACCTCTTGAGTCGTTCGCCGTATTGTAGTCAATTTTTTCCACTCTCCCCAGCTTATCCCCAATGTCATACATGATTTCTTCATCGAAATAGGCGAGAGGGAGTCGTGGGAGTCTGACCCAAACGGCATGGCTGATTGAGTCGAAATCTGGATCAAAATCAATACGCCATGGCTCCAAAGCAATATAGTGGTCTTCAATGGTCCAAGGACCACCGTAGAGAGCGCAATAATGATCCAGTTGGGAATCAAAGGTCGCCTGCAGACAGCCGTTTCCAATGTCCCCAATTTTGATACCACCCGTTCTCGCCCACATTTTCTGTATTCTTCTGTGAATGAAAGCAAAGGGAAACGATTTACCCAGAACACGGAAGGTGATTGCCCTCTTCCATCGACTTCTAACTCTAGCGTCCGTACTTTTCTTGATCCGGATCATTGGACATTCTGGGTCGTCGTCAATGCCCTCTCCATTAGATTCGTTGGACATTAGCTCATCTCCTTCGAGAATTTCATCAGGTGGACCATTACCTAGGAAGGAGTCCTGATAGGAAGCTTTAGCTCTCACAGGTACCTTGCTGCCTTCGTCTGGCTTTGGGTTGTTCCTGTCATCCTCTGGGTTCTTCGATTTCATTTCCACATCCATATCTCGTTGATCTTCTGTATCTTCAGCTCGCACAGTGACGATGGAGATCTCCATCTCTCCCTCCCCAGAGAAGCCACCACTCGAGCAAGCCTTAGCCTTTTTACTCGGTTGGACTGGCGTAATCGGCGGCGAGCCATCCGGCGATTTCAGGCAATGATCTGCCTCCGCTTGGGGCGGAGCAGCCCCAATGGTCATAAAGACACGAAAAGAAGAAAGAAACCAAGGAGAGAGGTGAGAGCGTTTTCTCTCTCAATATTTACCCTCTCTCTCTTTATTAAGATTTGGCCTTTCCCGAAGAGGAAACATATGAAAAGGAAAGGCTTGTTTCGTTGTGGTGCTGCAACACTAAATAGGCCTAGGCTCCTAGCCATTCAATTTGGATTGAATAAAAAGCCCATCAGACCTAGCATTCTTTTTTTGCACACACACGATCTAAGGCCTAAAAAGCCTGCGTAAGTACATGAGGAGTCCCATCTCATGCGTAGTAGTCAACAACCGACAAAATAATCTGCTAGATAACAATACAATCCAATACAATAAGTACTTGGAAGTAAATCAAGCTGTTGTTCTATCCATTTGTCATATGATCATTCAGATTAAATCTAATTGGAATAGGCAATGTTCAAGAAGACACTAGGTGCTATCTAGGTGAGGAGGCACCACCCAGCGCCCAGGCCGATTAGTCATTGCTTAGGCGAGATTAAACGTTGAAAAAAATATATGATAGATAAGCCATATTACACAAAAACTCAAGTCGCCATATCATTATTCATGCATTCATATACACATACAACCCTTTTCCATTATCCCAAACATCCCAAGTCACCAACCATGAGGTGGGATCTCACTATTGGTCGATGAGGGGAGCGGCTGGTCAAATGGAAATGGGTAATAGAATAGGGACTGGGATTTTCACAAAAAAAAACTACACTTAGGTGCCTAGATCAATCGCCCAGGGCTAGACGGGGCGATTTCCTCCTGCCTAGCTATTAATCGCGCCTAGGAGAGAGATTAATCGCGTCTTCTTGAACACTAGTTATAGGTATAATATGCCGCTCTACTATGTGGTTTTATTCAACATGCCTCTCTATTATCTTTCAGATCAAGCATGTCCTTGTTCTTTGGAAAAGTTATTAAACATGTCATTCTGTTTACATTTTCATTGAAAAAATTGTCAATCATGGTTGAACCGAGATTTAGACGACCTTACATCGGCAATTGGGAGGAAAAATATCAGTTTTGTCCCCTATTTTATTTCTTTGGGTCTCATCATAATGAAATTATTAGAATTATTTGGCTATACAAAAGGACCAAAAATTTATAAAGTGAAATTATTAGGGATATTTTAGACATTTGTGTCGCCCAAACCAAAGTTCGGCTGTGGTTACGATTTTTGGATGAAAATTTTAACAGAAGGGCATGTTGATAAATTTTTCAAAGTACAAGGGCATGTTTAATATAAAAAATCATAAATGTGCATGTTTGATAAAATAACATAGTAGAAGGGCATAATATACCTATAACCCAATCCAATTTATCGATTCCGTGAGGGTAATAATATCATCCTTAGCCAAAATTAAATGAAACATCTCTCTTCTTTTGAATTTTGTTTTCATATTCTTTACTCAATTAATCTCAACAATGGAAATGATTAAAATCTGAACAAACATGTTATAATGTATTTTTTAATGTTCAGGGAATTGTGAGGGGTCTGAAAATAAAAATTTCTTACCCATTTGCGAGGAACCAAAGACTTGACTTTTATAAATGGATACAATTGTTGAAGATTATTGATTCTTTTTCCTCTCAAACCTATTTTACAAATCTTCCTAAAAATAGTTATTTCGACGGTTTACGGAATGTTGATTTGAGAAAATTTAATAATTTTCTCGCTAAACAAGCTCTTTGGTTGACCATCCATACATATGTAAACTAAAAAAGTCTACAAAAAATAAATCTATGTCCTGTCAATTTTCATAATCAATATAATTTCATAATGTTCATTACTTGTCGGATTAGATGACACAAGCTTATCAACATTGCAAAAGAGACAAATGGGCGAAAAGGTCTAAAACTCCTTCCTAGCTAAGCGGACAAAGAAAAGGACATAGGTAAATAGTAAATGGTACACATTAAAAGTAGGGGTTTTGAAAGTCAAGCAGTAAATAATAATTACTGTCCCAACTGGGAAATGTCATGTACTTAAAAGCTGTGGGGGAAGAAGGAGAAGCAGCTTGCGTGCATTACAATTCACAATTCACTGTACTCCTTCCTTCACCAATGATCGCAAAACAAATAATTGAGCTCCTTTCTTCACAAACCTCTTTTGTATTTCTTCTTGGTTTTGCTCCTCCAAATCTTTCTCCTTTTAAGGCCCTCTTCAATGGCATCCAGTTGCTTCCAAAACTCACCACCACCTCTCCTCTAACTCAGCCACTTCTTCATCACCTTCTTGGCATGTGTATTTGATTGTGATTTAAGGTTAGCTATCAAAGAGTGTTTGAAGTGTTGATAAGTGTTACTTGGGTTTTAAGGTTAGGTTGGAGTCTTTGGAGATGGGAGGATGATATATGGGTGCCTGGCTCCCTGGATGCCAACTAAGGAACTTTGTCGATATTGGGTCGACTCTTTCTTCGTTGGCATCAGCGAGTCAAGCATGCAAAGTCTCTTTCTCATCTCTTTCAACAACATTATTTTATGACATGTTCTAAGTTCCATTCACGATTAAAAAGAATTGAAAAAAATGAGTTCTAACGAAATTTTGTCTGGAAATCTCACGTACAACTTTTGGTTGGCGATGTTCGTGGATGGAATTGTTGCTTTTTTCCGATTAATTTATGTATATTGTTATCCTCGTTCATGATTTACGATTTTTATTTCCGGATAATTACTAAAGGTGAAAATTAAGCATATTGGATCTTGCATGGTGTTAAATTGAGGGCAAGTTTCAGGAAGTGTCATTCTCTATAATCTGAATCTGTTAGTGTGTTTCAGTTAATCCACCAGGCCAGGTAACTATTTGCATCAAGGCCCAAGGGTTCATTTACAAAGCCACAAAATTGAGAAGAATGTCGAGATGATAAACTCAAAGGTATGTGTTCTTACTTCTTACTCATATTATTATTTACCAATTATCATATTGCTCACCATTATTAGCTAATACTCTGCCTCAGAATTCAAACTACCAGAGAAACAAAAATCTCCGACCGCCGTCTGATCAGGCCGACGACAACCCTTTTTTCATTGTCTCTCGGGGCATTCCCATGAAGAATCCAGAATTCGGTATGCACACACACTAGACATATTAATTAAAGAGATTGGAATGTGTCGATTCTTCAACAGAGTACTCTGTTTCTCTTCTTTCCTGGCGAATTTTGTACACTCTGTTTCTACATGATGGCGCAAGAAGGGTCAATGTTGTTGTAATAGTGACCGCCGGCGGCAGGGCTCGTTTGGTAGACGTAGTGATGAGGCGGGCCTCCAGCGTACCCGTAGGACCAGACGGCGGGAGACGGCGGCGGTTTGGAATCTTCTTCCGGCTTCTTCTTTTCCTCCTCCTTCTCTTCTACAGGGCCGACGCTGACCAGTTCGGCGAACCCAACTTTGCTTCGAAGCAGAGTGACGAGAGACACCGAGTCGATTCCGTCTCCGGTGACTTCGATTTGGGTCTTTTCCGGCCCGGCCAAGGCCGCCGAGTCGACGCCGTGGACGCCGACGACAATCGTCATCGCCTTGGATCGTGACTTTTCCTTGCTCATTGAGACCTTGATCACTAACTTTTGCTGTTGGAATCAAATATAAAATGTTAGTTAAGTCACAAAATTTCTAATTTTGTATCGAAGCGGCAAACAGATAATTAGTTATCTATCAATTGGCTATAATCGAGTAAATTTTGGTCCTCAGAATTCTATAAATAAATTACTAATCACTAATCAATAATAAACAATAAAATTATTTTTGTAATCAAGATTCAATGTAAGATATGAGTTCGATTGAATGTTTGTACCTTCATGATGGAGATGCGAATAAGAACGAAGCTAATAGAGTCTGAGTTGTATGTTGTGAATTTGTGAGAGGGTGAGTAGAGTAGAATGGGAAACAAAAAGAGATGGGAAAGGTAGCTTTGAAGTTTGATTCTTGATGGAGGATTGGTGTTTGTGATTTGAAGATGGGGTATTTATGTGCATGCAAAGATACAAAATCCAAGAGAGGTTCGGCGCGGCGGGGCCGGGGGAGTGTTAAAAATGCCTGTACATTTTCCGGGCAGTTGCAAAGAATTTCCGAGGAATGTTCTTTGGGCCCACTATCCGTCTAGCCCACCACTGAACGTTAAATCAACAAGTAAGGGGCCCAATAGAAAGCGTCGCGACTCGCGAGTCGAGACTCGAGAGTAATAGAGACGAAGTAGGGCAACGGAATAAATCAACGGGTCGGGTGGGTCTTGGGGTTTTGGAGTCTAGCTACGAGTACGACGTCGACGCGTCGCTGAAAGTATAGAATCCAAATTTCTACTCCGACTATTTGGACAAAACGGCAGCTTGGGATATCATATACTGTTTACTAACACTCTTTTCAAACTCAAGCCATTCAGATAGGCTTGGAGGTTGGACATGCACAGGTTCGGACACCGTGTGTTTAACAGAAACGGATGGGATCACTGGGAATCGAACAGAAGACCTCACGGTCACAAAAGGCTCTGATACCATGTCAAGAACTAGTTAATCCCAATAACTCGAGTTGTAGGGAGAGGTTCAATCGTGAATCATATACTGTTTACTAACATCCATAAGGGTTCTTTTGCTATCTGTGGGCAGACGCGGTTCGACCCTACTATTATGCTCACATAGCTAAGATGAAAACGTACTCACATCGTAGTAGGGGTGGCAGTTCGGTTGTCGGTTACCGGTTAACCTGTCGGTTCACCGATAACTGCCGGTTAATCGATAACCGAAAATTATATGCATCGGTCAGTGGTTGGGGCTTCTAATAGGTGATTCGGTTAGTCGATTAACCGAAAACCGGTTACCCGGTTAGACGGAAATAACCGGCCAACCACCCCCCTTCACCAAAACGACGTGGAAATACCTAGTTATGAAGTTTATAACTTTATGTTGTTGAATTTGAGACATTAATTTGGTGATTTAGATGTATTTTCTATGCAAAAGTGATTGAGACTTTATTTTGGGTGTGATTTAGATGTAGAAATGTAGGTTTAAACTTTTTCATTTTAGGCGATTTTAATAATTTTACCCGGTTAAAACCGAACCACTATCATTTTTTCGGTTATCTCTGTTAACCAACCAAGTAACTGATAACCGACCGGTCAATTGTCGGATAACCGAGGCATTATTGTTGGTCGGTGTTTGGTAGAGGAGATGGTGGTTCGGTTATTTGTTATAACCGAACTGAACCGAATCCACCCCTACATCGTAGAATGAAAGGACTCAAATTTTGGGTGGAGTCGTATCAAGGTTGACATTCACTATATTTAGGATTTAGTACGTCCTAGCTAGTGTTGTTCATTTCAGTTACACTATATTCCCACGGAAAAGTACGTTACATGATTTGCTTACCAAGTCCTTTACTACGTACGAATTACCATGTGTTTATTTCTAGCAAATTGATATTACGTGACAGACATCAATCTATGGGAGTATCATGCCATTTCTGCATTTTATATCAGCTCATGTTTGTGTAGGTCTAGGGTAGGGTGTAGGTGTATAACTCTTGATAAGCTTGTTAATCGGTTATTCTGTTAGCGGTGTCACGAATAACCAAATAGGTAACTGGTGGTTAGCAGCTACACCGATAAATGATTATACAATATTATCGATAGATAAATTTAGCTAATTATTAGTAACTGATGGTTAAACATTTAGTAATCGATAGCTAAACAATTAAAGAGACTAATTGGTTAGGGCCCTCCTCACAGTTAGGGGTGAAAATAATAGGAATCGACGGCCGCGTGCATAAACAAAAAATAATGGGATGTTTGAAGGTCGAAAAAATCGCTCACTACCATACTCGTAATAGTGGCTTAGGTTTAGATGAAAAAATAATTTCAGGGAAGGACTAGCTCTAGAAGGAGTACAGTAAAAATGGTTATGGTTATAACCGAACCAGACCGACTAACAAACCTAACCCTTGGTTATGCATTTATGCATAACCAAATATGACCCATTGATTTTGACTTGAGTGAGTCTAGATCAAATGGATGATATTAAAAGACTTTTTATGTTTCATAATCTTTTAATATGTTAGTATATTCTTTGTTTAACCTTTAATTTAATTTTTTTCATAGATGGAACAAGTTCATTGATATACAAAAATGATGTACATTTCAATATGTTTCGAGAATTTTTTTGTATGACTCGTTACCACCTAGTACATACCAACTTCATTTCTGACACGTTTTTTGCACACAAGGAGCAGTTTCATCGTGACCTATAAAATTTTGAAACAAAAATTCAGAACTAAATATCCCACCTTGATACATGATGGTAAGCTACTTGTAGTAGGAGGTGTTGAAAGGTGGTAAATGATGGTTATTATATTTCTGTTACCATTATACAATCATTATACACTTATTTATCCATATCAATATGGTACACTTCCATACCACTATGACATTATCTCATTTGTTAGCAAGCGTTACCACCATGGTATAGATAGATAATATATCCCGACTGGTTTTGTTCCAAAATGTATGAAAGTAGATGTTATTTTGAAGAACATAATTAATATAATTTTTTCAATGTCAAAATATCACTACAAGAAAACCAGCCTATAGAGGCAAATAATTAGAGGCAATTGTTGTAGTGGTCTCTATAGCTAAGTTTTAGGTGCAAATTTATTATTTGTCTCAATGGGTGAAATTATTTGTCTCTACAGGCAAATCTAATAGTCTTTAGAGACAAATACAAATGTTGCTTATAGTTATGTCATATAGAGATGAATTTAATAGTCTTTAGATGCAAATATAAATGCTTCTTATACATATATCATATAGACACAAATCTAATAGTATTTAGAGACAAATACAAATGGCTCTTATAATTATGTCATATGAAGACAAATCTAATAATCTTTAGAGATAAATACAAATGTCACTTATAATTATGTCATATAGAGACAATTTTAATAGTCTTTAGAAACAAATATAAAATTTACTTATACACATATCATATACTTACTATTTAGAGACTAATGGAGAGAAAAATGATCATTGATGCCCTTTAAATTAAACCGGAAATGGTTAATATGAGCTTATGAGCCCATGTAGTCTATGTAATGGTCCATTTCCATGCAAGATATTATAAGTGTTACCATAGAGGATAATGATAAGGTAAAAAATAAAGAATACACATATTTACGGTTCACTAATATGATGTTTGTTAGTTATAATTCATGAATATAAGATATTAGTTTCATTAAACTTAAGGACTTTGCTACGGTGACATGCATGTCACGGTGACATGCACTTTTCGGTCGACCTCATATAGGATTAGGTCGACCTAGTCTGTTGTTTCATGTAAAAACAGTTTCATGGTGTCTACTTTGGAGAATCATATCTTAAAATTGGCTAGATGGAAATTGGAGATTAAATGCTTGTTTTGAAGCTGAAGTGTCCCTCTACACATTAAAGTACTTGAGAGCTCAATAGAAAGTCCAGAAGACCATTTTTGAACCTGACCAAAAGGCTATGCCAAAACTGGGAAACTGCTTGAAAATGGCATAAGTCTGGCAACGTGTTTGTCAAGTCTACTTTGGAGCTCAATTTGAGAAGCATGGATGCGAGTCAAGTCCAGGGGCCTCTACCACGTTAAATTACGTATTTTTTATACAAAGGCAAGGCATTGGATGGAAGATTGAATATCTTTAAGACTTCAAACAAAAGACTCGAAGTTGCTACGAAGGCTGTTTTTCTGGCAGCTTGCTTGAGCTCGAAGTCTGCCAGAAAAACAGCATTTGTAGCAACTTCAACCCTTTTGTTTGAAGCCTTACATATATCCAATCTTTCATCCAATGCCTTGAATTTGTATAAAAACATACCTAATTTAACGTGGTAGAGGCTCCTGGACTCGACTCGCATTCATGCTTCTCGAATTGAACTCCAAAATAGGCTTCACAAACACGTTTCCAGACTTAGCCATTTCCAGGCAGTTTCCCAGTTTTGGCATAGCCTTTTGATGAGGTTCAAAAATGGTCTTCTGGACTTCCTATCGAGCTCTCAATCACTTCAATATGTAGAGGGACACTCCAGCTTCAAAACAAGTCACTAGTCTTCAATTTTCATCTAGCCAATTGTATGATATGAATATCCAAAGTAGGCACCATGAACTGTTTTTACAATGAAACAACATATTAGGTCGACCTGATCCTATATTAGGTCGACCGAATCCTAAATGAGCTCGACCAGATCCTAAATGAGGTCGACCGAATTCTAAATGAGGTCGACCTAATCCCAACTGAGGTCGACAGGAAAGTGCAAGTCACCGTGACATGCATGTCACCGTAGGCACACCCTATACTTAATAAAATACAAGTTACATAGATTGAGAAGATATATATCACACATTCTCCGGATAGTATAACGCTATTCCAACCTAAAAATAAAAAAAGTAAGAAACCATGCCCAAACTTGTAGTATAAATAAATGTTTATTAGTCCATACACCGGAGGGCTTTATCTCCAAAACCTGATCGGGAGCCACCTTGCGACCCAAAAGAGCAAAACCCCATAATAGGGATGGCAATGGGTCGGGTTGGGTAGGGTTTTGCCAAACTCAAACCCAAATCCATGGGTTTATCCGTGAAAAAATCCGGGGTAAAACCCACTAGGTTTGAAAAACTCAAACCCAACCCAACCCGCTGGGTTTCCGCGGGTTCATGGGTACCCACGGGTTTTTGTCGTAAAAAATTTACTAACAAATTGCTATCAAAATTAAAGTCAAATATCAATCTCCCAATACAAATTATCCATATATAAAACACCATTCTAGAAAATTCAAGCAAATCACAAATTAACTATACAAATTGTTCAACACCAATCTAGAAAACTCAAGAAAATTGAAGCAAATCACAAATTATCCATAAATAACATGATTAATTGAAAGCTTCTTCCTTTCAATTAAGTTTTACACTCTCTACTCGATAACATCAACTTCATACTACATAACTAGAAAGAAAAAATTAGGCATGTCTCCACAAACATAAATAAGATTAGTTGTTTAGAATATTAAATATGCCGAGAAAATTAATTATATGGGTGTGGGCGGGTACCCACGGATCGGGTTTACCTAAACCCAAATCCAACACAACCCGGTGCATAGTGAACGGGTTTAAACCTAAACCCGACCCAAAACCCGTCAACACAAATTTTACCCGCGTTGACCGGATTGAGTCGGATGGATACCCGTGAGTTCGGGTTTTGTTGCCATCCCTACCCCATAACTTACCACCTTCGATAACTGTGTTGAAGTCCCAGAGAATTATCACATACACATTCTTAAGATGTTGAGATTCACCTGAAAGCTTTTGTCTTGCTCTCGTGTTTGATTTCATTGCTTTACATGCCTCAAATTTCAAACTAGTACAGATATCAAAATCTCAATGACGACGCCCCCCATGAGAAATTCACAATTCGATATATATATGTGTACACTGCACACATTAATTCCAAAGATAAGGGTAATTGTTATTGTAATAGTATCCGCCGGCGGCAGGGCTCATTTGGTAGACGTGGTGCGGCGGGCCACCGGCGTACTCGTACGGCCATACGACGGGGGTCGGCGGTTTGGAATCTTCTACCGGCTTATTCTCTTCCAAAGAGCCGACGCTGACAAGTTCAGAGAATCCCACTTTCTTTCGAAGCAGAGTGACGAGTGCCACCGAGTCGATTCCGTCACCGGTGACCTCGATTTGGGTCTTCTCCGGCCCGGCCATGGACGCCGAGTCCACGCCGTGGACGCCTACGACTATCCTCATCGCCTTGGATCGTGACTTTTCCTTGTTCATTGACACATTGATCACCAACTTTTGCTAATAAAATAAAATACAAATTTAGTGAGCTAGGGGATAAAATAAACTTCTTTTCGTCATTAAAACTCAATGTATAACTGTATAAGATATTAGTGTTCTTACCTTCATGACGATGGAGATGCAGATCTAAGAACGGAGCTAATCGAGCTCTAGTTGTGTCGAGCTGAGCAACGAGTCGTGAACTTTTCAGAGGGCAGCAGAATGGAAGGGGGAAAAAAGGGAGGGAAAGTTAGCTTTGAAGATTGATTCTTGTTGGGGATTTTGGTGCTTGTGCTTTGATGGGGTGCTTGTGCTTATATATGCAATGCAAATAGATAGAAGAGAGGAGGGAGTATTTGGCTGCGGGGAAAATGTATGTACATTTTCCTGGCAGTGGCAAAGAATCCCCAAGGAAAGATCGTTGTGCCCACTAGTAGCAAACAGTCTACACTCTAGCCCACCACTGAAGGATAACTAACTAACTGATAAGGGTCCAAAATCATCGCCAAGCAGATAGTCCTTTCAAATAATAAATAGAAAAAGACCAGTTCTTTATCTCCGAAATATTATTTACTTTTGGTGACCAATTCCCAGTTTTCACTAGGGGTGGCTATATGGTCCAGTCCGGTTAAATTGGACTAAATTGATCCGGTACTAGTCCGGTCTTTTCGGTAATATAAGGACTAAATATTGGATTGGATACAGTCCGGTCTTGATTCGGTACAGTCTTGACCCGGTCCGGTCCCAATTTTATCTTGATTTTAGGTGTTGGGGGTCTCTTATCCGATCTTTATCCGGTTTTTTTACCTCAAATCTAAGCCCGAATATGAGATTGCATTGTTTGCTATCCGGTCTCAGTCCGGTCCCGGTCCGGATTATACGATCCGGTTTCGGGTAAAACCAAACAGTCCGGGACCAAATAGCCAGCCCTAATTTCCACCTAGGATTTTGACCAATAAACTCTAGAGTTTTCTATTAGAAAGCAGGTGAGAGGTTGTGCGGGCTAACATCCAGTGAGTCAGTGACTAAGCCGGTTCCTTACTCGCTTGAGTAGATTTCAACTCTTCAACCTCATAATTATTTAAGGGTTTCAATTAATTTAATTTAATAAAGGGCAATGTAGTAATTGCAGACTTTATTATTTTTCCATTATTAAATAAATTAAATATACACTTTCCTGTTCTCGATTATTCCCCGCGCGTTGGTTTCTGGCGTCCGGCCCGTCTGCGACCTCCCTTCCCGGCGGAAAGCTTCTTCGACAGCGACCCCGGGCTCCCTTCCCGGAGGCAACCCAGCGTCCTTCCCAGGCGGCCGAGGACAACGACAGAGAGGAGATTTTCCGGTGACATCGTCTGTTTTGTTATGTTTGTCGACTATTTTGTAATGTTTGTAATTATGTTTTGTGATTTTGTATCAATTCGGTTTGTAACGTTTATCATTCTAATTTTCCATTTTTATCTATTATGTTTGTAATGTTTATATGACTAATTTGTATACAATGTAATTTGTAATGTTTGTTTTTCTAGTTTGTATACTTTATGCTATGATTTGTATACTTTGTATTCATTGATTTGTAATACAAGTTTACTGATTTGTATTGTAAGTAGTGGCATTTTGTACGTTAATATGTTTTGTAATGTTTGTCGGTTTAGTTTCTATGGTTTGTATAGTTCGTATAATTTGTATTGTTTGTAAATTTGTTTGTATGTTTTGTCGTTATATTTTGTACTGTTTGTATGTTTGTTTGGTTTGTGCTGTATGTAAGTCCGTTTTGTAGACTTCGTAATTTTTCATAATACCCAAACTACCCCTGTCATTAATTAAAAAGCCATTCTCACTTTATAACCATCAGATTGTTGGTGTGTCAAGATCTAGAGAATAAACATTTGTTGTTCTAGCTATCTGGGTTCCAAGCATAAACTTAGCTTCACCCAGATCTTTGACCTCAAAGCTCTCTCTTAACATGTCTTTAGCTTCATTGACCACGTGGATATTTGTACCAAATATCAACATGTCGTCCACAGACAAACATCTGATATTGCATGAGAACGAGAGAACGAGAGTGTCAAACATTTCATGCCACTGTTCTGGAGCCTGTTTCAAACCATCTAATGATTTGTCTAACTTAGAGACTTTCAAATTTCAAGGCATGTTCAGGGATAACAAACCCTTCTAGTTGTTCCATATAGATTTCTCCATCCAAATCACCAGGGGGCATGCCCTTAGGTGAGAGAACCCAATCAGTATACTCCTTTGGTAGGAGTTCTCTCACCAATGTGGTATTCTAACCTTGAAACCTAGGGGTGTTCAAACGGTTTGGTTACCGTTGTAACCGTTTTAACAGGTACTATTTGGATAATTTGGTTTGGTTAATTTGGATAATTGGTTTGGTTTGGTTAAAGATTTTAGCTTGTTTGGTTTAGGTGGTTTGGTTTGGTTTCAGACACTCCTAACCAGTCAAACCAAATTAACCAGTTAAGTAATTAGTCATATATCTAACATATATTATATACACATAATACTTTCATAACCACTCAAGAGTTAACGTTCATCCCTTTTAGACTCATAAAATATAAAGCTCAATATTGCTCATATAGTGTGTAGTTGTATATTTTAAGTCTAGACCACAACATAGGGACACCTAATTTAGATAAATTTCATACATTATGATTAATGAAAACTTGAAAGGAAGGTCATTTACAGCCTATGATAATTACTAAGAGACTAAGTCAATTTACACAAACACAACAATTCATTAACCCATACCATTGTCATAATTTTTTGTTAGGTGAATACTTCTATACTAATCGTAAGATAATTGTCTTAGTTGCATGTATTTTTTATAAGGGTCAACTATAACTACGTGTTGATTGTTATGTTTTATTCATTATATAAATTGCGAATTGTTGCATTAACCGGAAAATTTTCATCGTCAATAATAATGTGATTTTATATTGGTTAATCTGGTTAACCTATTAACCAAACCGATTAAACTTTAGTTTGGTTAATTTGGTTGTTGTATTAGTTTGAACGGTTTGGTTATGATATTGTATTCCATGGTTAATGGAATTTAGCCTTATTTGACTTGGTTATAACCATGGTAACCATTTGAACACCCCTAAATGAAACCTATAGCTTTCAAAAACTATTCACTTATTCATTTCCAACAGTAACTGACGATTAAACAGTTCGTAACCGACAATTAAACAATTAAGCGGCTAATTGATTACAGCCATCCTCATAATTGGGATAGAAAAATAATAGAAATCAACGGTCATATGCATAGACAAAAAATAATAGAATGTTTGAATTCTAACTCAAAATAAAAGAAATATAACTCATTAAATTAAACTCATATAACTTTAAAAAACTATTCACTTAGTGACAGCTTCATGTATTATAGTTCATATATTATATTTGTAGTGTGATATATAATATGTGCTTATTAGCCCATGTAGTCTATAATATAATGGTCCATGTCCATTTCCACTGTACGCAAGCTAGTTAGTTAATTCACGGATACAAATTACATAAATTGAAAAGATATATATAACTACTTTTTCAGACGGTCTAACCCTAATCCAACATGTAAAGAAAAAGGTATAATTATGTCCAAAAGTGTAATACAAATGTGTATAAGTTCATACACAATAAATGGAGGGTGTTGTCTCCAAACCCCAATTCGGAGACCACCTTACAATCGAAAAGAGAAAAATCATTAACTTTCAATCGACGACAAATAATGTGTTCCACTCCCAGCAACACATACACAATCTTGAAAGATGTTGAGATTCAATTGAAAGCTTTTGTCTTTGCTTGCTCGTATTTTATTTCTTTGGCCACCAATATATATTGTTGCTAATATTCTGCTTTACATGCCTCAAATTTCAAACTACTACATATATAAAAATCTCAACGACTTGTATCTCGCCGCATCTCCCATGAGACATTCAAAATTCGACATGAACACTGCGTGCTCACATTAATTCCAGAGATAAGGGTAATTATTATTGTAGACGTAGTGAGGTGGGCCAGCGGCGTACTCGTAGGACCATACGGCGGCCGTCGGTTTAGAATCTTCCTCCGGCTTCTTCTCTTCCAAAGGGCCGACGCTCATCAGTTCAGAGAATCCCACTTTCTTCCGAAGCAGAGTAACGAGTGCGACCGAGTCGATTCCGTCGCCGGTGACCTCGATTTGAGTCTTGTCCGGCCCAGCCAATGACGCCGAGTCAACGCCGTGGACGCTGACGACTATCTTCATCGCCTTGGGCCGTGACTTTTCTTTGTTCATTGATACATTGATCACCAACTTTTGCTGTCGGAATAAAATAAAATAAAAAATTAGTTAGTTATCGAATACAGTAAAATTCATTTCGTCATCAAAACACTCCATATGCGAGCGATATATTAGTTTGATTTGGTGTTCTTACCTTCATGATGATGGAGATCGATGCAGATAAGAACGGATCTAGTTGTGTCGAGCTGAGCTATGACTAGTGAACTTTCGAGAGGGAAAGTGAGATTTGATGATTGATTCTTTTTGGGGGATTTGGTGATTCTGCTTTGATTAGGGTGCGTGTACTTATATGCAATGCAAATATATAGAAGAGAGGTTCGTTCGGTTAGGGAGTGTTTGGCTTCGGGGAAAATGACTCTACATTTTCCAGGCAAGTCGCAAAGAATCTCCAAGGAAAGATGTGTCTTGTGCCCACCACTGAACGATGACTAACTAATAAGGGCTCTAAAGTAATAATAGAAAAAGACCTCGCAGGTCGAGGTTGATATGTCTATGATATATTAAGCTTAGTTTAGTTTAGTTTGGCCCTGTTGTAGTTTTTGCAGAAGTAGCTTTTGGCTGGAGCTTTTATATAAGTACTTAAAAAAAAACAGTTGAATGTTTGGCTGTAAAATTATTAGAAGTGCTTTTTAATATGATAGATGGTATAAAATGACTATAAAGGACTTATAATATAAAATATGAATAAAAATTTTAAACAATAAAAAGTAGTCAAAATGGATCTTGTTAGATTTCTTTTATATTAAATAATATGATTTTATAATTTATTTTATTTTCAAAATGATATAAATGAAGGAAAATTATATTTTATGAAATAAAATTAAAATATGATAAGGATAATCTTGTATTTTCAAAACAACTTTTCGCAGAAGCTCTAAATCGGAGCTTCTGCTTTTATGTTATACAAAAACGCTTTTCGGCTTTTCAAAAGCCGAGCTTTTAGAGGTGTTTGGCCGTGTACACTGAGCGTGGACTGTGAATGAATTTATAATGCGTAATCTAGAGTCTAGAGAATAATTAATGGTGGAATTTTACCACTTTTTCACCATTCAAAAAAATGTTGCTCTCTTCTTAATTTTCGTCAGGGGTAAAATGGTCTGCTCGATCCCTTTTTTCCTTGTCTTCCCGTCTAAATGCACTAGATGAAGGCGGCAGTTCCGCAGCTCCATCACTAAGGCCTTTTATTAGGCCCATAAGTAAATAAATCTGTTGCTAAACCGAGGCCTTTTATTAGACCCATAATAAAATAATAAGGGTAACAATCACACAAACCTTGCTTCAATTTTTATTTATTTTATTTGCTTTATTAATCTGCACGTTACCAGTTTAATTTCTCCCCTTTATAATATTCCTTCAAATGGGTTTTATGTAAACTAGAATACACTTATGTCATTCATAATTTTTTTTTATGGATCTCTATAAACTCCTATTATACGGTGGTTCGACCAGAAAAATCATTTAATGAAGCTTAATTCGTCAGAAGGTTTTATCATTATAAATTATAAAATGATTGAATCACGATTAGACCACTATTTAAGCACAATATAACACATCAATAAGTGTTTCTATACAACATTCAGTACGTTTTACACTCTTTGGTTTTTACCATTTTTCATTTGCATTTTTTTTTTGTAAATTTTGTAAAATATATTCTAGATTGTGGGTGTAAAAAATATAAATATATTGATATAATTTATGAATTTTAAACTATAAATTAATTTATACAAATTTTATTATATACTAGTACTCATTATATATTATATAGGTGAGTTCTACGGTACCTAGGGGGAAATCCGGGGTACCGCATACCTTGAGTGTGAAAATATTATCCAGACCTTGAATTGACAGATCTTTCGGACATGATACTATACTCTAACCCTTAAAGATCAAAATCTAGGTCTTAATTATCTAAATTTTATACCCCAAGATCAATTTAATTAGAAACAATAATCGACCATTATGATTCGTCCAAATATATGCAAAAAAATGAATCCACTAGTTTAGGTTTATAGTTTAAGATTTAAATAATTAGGACCTAGAGTTCACTCATTAAGGGTTAGGGTATAGTATCATGCCCAAAATGCCTGCTAATTTGAAATCTAGATAACATTTTCATACTCAAGATATGCGGTACCCCAAATTTCATCCGGGGTACCGTAGAAGCCACCTATATAATATAATTAATTTACATGTCTTGACTGAGGTTACTACGAAAATTGTGAATCATTAGTTAAAGATTAGTCGAACATTGAAAATCGTCTATTGATTTATCTTTCGGTAATAAATAGTCATTAGCACACTTTTGTGTATTTTGCCATTTATAGTTGCATAAATAGGGATATAGTGTTAGTTAGATTTGGTTTGACGCTTTTTTTTTTACAAAAGATAATCATATATTAATTGGAAAAAAGATAGTTACATCCTGGAATTCAGCCAGGCCTGATAACACTACAGGAAAAAGACCATTTAATCATGGGAAATCCCGTGTTTGAAAGCGTGTTTCCCGTGTTTAATAGTTTTAGTCACCGAAATATTACCGTAATATATACCTCCGTGTCTAATTGTAAAGGTCACAGGAAATATGTACCGTACCTAGTTATAACTATTCACGGTATAATTTCCCATGATAATTTGTACCTATTAATCATGGGGAGCCCCATGACTAATAACAAATATTTCCACACAAAACCAACAACAAAACCATTTAGAGACGGGTTATACACCTTTTAACACAGTATTTACCATGACGAATTCATTTCCCGTGACTAGATGGTAATCATTAGTCACAGTATTTGGTCGGTTCTTCTGTATATAGAGACTAACAATTGATCACGGTATTTGATTGGTTATCCCATATCGAGAGACTAACAATTGGTCACAGTATTTTATTATGACAATCAATTAGTTCAACTGACATTTATTGCTTGTATAGCATGAGACTAAAAGATAACAAAAATCTATTATAATTCCAATCAATCTATCTAAATGTTTTATCTATACTTCTACAAAATATTCTTGAGTTCAAGTTCCAAGTTCCATCTTTCCTCTATCAATGAACTTTTGATATCAAGAATCCCATCTCTAGAAACATGCACTTCTCTATCTCTGCATGAACAACAATAGATGTGATTGACATGGGTTATGGTAATATGTTTATGTTTCTGTGTAAGTTTGTAAACCTAATTAAACAAAAATCACAAATACTTAAGACTTCCATTAAATTACTTGTGCCATATTGAGGAGGAAACAAAACAAAGAACTTAAATTGATGACGTGTTGATCCATTTTACATATGTCAATCATCTCAAGAGAACTACAGAAAATCAGTAGCAGACTAATAAGATTCAATAGAGAGTTCAATAAGAAATTGGAACGAACCTGCAACGATTAATCAATGCACATTACATACCGTAATTCAATATAACTGAAACTGCAACTGCAGTGCAACTGCAGACACAATCAAAACATGTCAAATATAACTAAAACTACAGACACAATCAAAACATGTCAAATATAACTAAAATTGCAGACACACCATTAAAACAGGTCAATAGGAGATAGATGAGATAGCACCACAGATACAACATCTTTATGGAGGTGGTGATAAGGTGAGTATCAATATTGCTACTGGGACCGCTTTAAAGTACATGAAAATAGTTTAGATAAAGGTCCGTTAGGACAAGGATATGGATTCAAAATACAGAACTAGAACTCTGGAAGGGGTAGCATGTGAGGCCTAACATAAAAAAATAACTGTAATGACAATGTCTAACGGCCAATTAGCTGAAGCTGGTAAAACAAATTTAGCAACAAAGTCCTCATTACATAATTATGTGTATACGAGATAATTAGAGGGTCCGTTGACATTTATTGCATAGATTTAGTTCCAGGGCTGCGTGGCACTAACCATCTCCTAAGCAATATCAGATGATGATCTACTTACATGATCCAATTTGGTCAGGCTTCAAGTGCAGATTTACACTCATTAGAATCCAGTGTTTTGGGTGAATCACCTAAATTTACATCATGCACCTTTTCAGGCATGGAGATAGGAAGAGAACCATCTCCCAACACCTGTACAGAAGAACAAAGGTGGAAAAGACTAAAATAGGTAACCGAAACAAATTGAAAAATATAAGACCCCACTTTTGGTACTTATGAATTTAACTTATGATAATTTCCAAGCATAGATGTTGCTATCATCAAAAGAACAACCTAAGCTTACTAAAGGAATCTGGTGGTCTTGTGAATACCAAGACGTCAGTTGGATAAGTACATGCTCCAAACACATTAATTTAAGTCTCTAATTGTTCCTGCGACATACTAAGGGAAATGACATCAGCTGTCTTTCATCACAATAGAGACTAATGGTATAAAGCATGCACTTAGGATTCACAACAAACTAAGAGATAAAAATATTTACAGTATTGGGGTAGATGAGCTAATCCACAAGTTGCACCGGCGCCCATTTACAATCTTTGTTAGAAAAGCTTTTACCTTGTATGAACACTAAACAACCACAATCTGCTTTGTCAGCAAGGCTACACATCAAAGAGAGAAAGAAACAGTAAAATACAGTTGTGACTTATGTTTTCCCTCACGTTTCAGTGGGAAATTGTCATCCTTGAATTTCAACCCATAAATTAATTCCCACCAATACCATTCCCAACAGAGATGTCTCCACTTTGTGCCATGAACCCTTCAATGACTTGATAATATCGCAACCCTATACAGTAAAATACAGGTGTGACTTATGTTTTCTCTCACGTTTCAGTGGGAAATTGTCATCCTTGAATTTCAACCCATAAATTAATTCCCCACCAATACCATTCCCAGCAGAGATGTCTCCACTTTGTGCCATGAACCCTTCAATGACTTGATAAAATCGCAACCCTATACAACAAGCAAAAAAACATAGCTAAAGTAAGCTTATTACATACTCCAATGAAAATTTCATATGGTGTATCATCCAAAAAACAAACAGAGTGGTGAGGAACCAAACAGCTGAGACATAGCTACATACACCACAACCAAACATCCTGAAACCTAAAACCTGAAAGCCGACTACATATCCAACGTTACCCACATAATTCATAAACACCTCTGAAAGAAGAGTTAACCAACCAGCTTAAAGGGAAC